GCTCAACGTGAATGCATGCGTTTTAACTTTTGAAGTGCTTTATACACCATTCAACGATACATTGCAATACCCCCAAAATAAATAAGTCTTGCAAGAATTGTTACCTTATGCTTATAGCAATATTAAACCAAAAGGAATACATTATATTGCAGCTTACCAATTCTTAGATGTGATGGCTGCATTGTTTATTTTTTTAAGGCTTTCTTTCATCTGGTGATCTGGCCAGTAAGGCTTTTGACAGAACAAGCTGTCCTACAGATGTAACAGTTACAGGGTTGAGACAATCCATTTAGCACTGACAGAGGTGCTTACAATGATCAGCTTTTATTTATTCTTTTTAAACCTTTATCCCTAAAGGAACAAAACTGTTTTCTGTAACTGCTTAGAAAGTATTGGCTGAAGTTTGGCTTACATTTGTTAGTTTGTTTAAATTTGGTATCATATCTAGCATTCCCCCCCCCTCCCCCCCCAGGCTGACAATATTGATGTACAAATGTGCCCCCTGTGCTTTCTGTGGGGGCACTCTAATATAGGATGTGTGTTACTGGACAATTCTCCAGGTGAAAACAGAAGTAAAAAAAAAAAAAAAAAGTTAATGCAGCCACCACATCTAATGATTGGTAGGCTACTAGTGGTGCACCGGAATGAAAATTCTGGTGCCGAAACTGAAAATTCAAAATTCCCCTGTCCGAAAACCAAAACCTAAATGCGCAGTTTTTACAAATGAATACCTGGTATATATTTTTTTGAAACAATATATACCCCAATTTTTTTTTTGTAAAATGTGCAAGAGGATGTTACAGCGAGTAAATAGATACCAAACATGTCACTCTTTAAAATTGCGCACATTCGTGGAATGACGTAAAACTGCGGCACTTAAAAAATCTCCATGGGTGATGCTTTAAAAATGTCTACAGGTTAGCAATGTAAAGCTACAGAGGAGGTCTAGTGCTAGAATTATTGCTCTTGCTCTGATGTTCGTGGCTATAGGTAACGTGTGGTTTGAACACCATTTACATATGTGGGCATGGCCTACGTATGCGTTCACCACTACGTGCGAGGAGGGACGGGGGCACTTTAAACTTTTTAAAAAAAATTGATTCAATTTTTTTTTTATGCACTGTCCCTTTGAAAAATGTTTTAATCACTTTTGTTCTTATCACAAGAAATGTATGCATCCCTTGTGATAGAAATAATTAGTGACAGGTCCTCTTTATGGAGAGATATGGGGTCAGTAAGACCCCACATCTCTCCTTTGCAATGTAAATCATTGGATAAAAAAAAAGCATTGATCTAGTGCTTAAAAAAAAAAAAATGGCCGCTCCGGTCCTCCAAGGGCATAGAGATGAGTGGAGGCCATTTTCCCTGAGCTCATCTCTGTACCCAGCTTCGGGATCGCTCGATGGTTTCTCAGGTAAGGCTGAGAACTACCAAGCAGCGGCCAGGGGCAGGGTTTTTTCGGCACCTGTATCGGAGCTTTTTTTCATTTTGGCCGAAAGGGGTATTTTCGGCCACCGAAATTTTGGTGCATCTATATGCTACAATTTATTGCTACTTTAAAGCAGAGAAAACTAAGCAAATAAAACTAATGCAGCCATCACATTTAAAAAAACAGCACCATGTTAATTTGCTGACCAATTTCTAAAGGGTTGTGATCACTAAAAAGTGCAATAACATTTGCTGAGGTGGGGTGGCGGGAGGATAATGTAACAACCTCTACCTCTGCCAATCAGAGGAAGCCTTGTGTTCTTCAATAATAAAAATACAAGGCTTCTCCGAAATGGTGGAGAAACACTTAGCCTGACTTTCATGCTGGTACATAGCACTACCTACAATGTGTGCACAGTTATTAGGCAAGTGAGTATTTTTACCAAATCATAATTTTTATGCATATTGTCCTACTCCAAGCTGTGTAAACTTGAATGCTTATTGGATTTAAGCATATCAGGTGATATGTATTTGTGTAATGAGGGAGGGTGTGGCCTAAGGAGATCAACACCCTATATCAAGGTGTGCATAATTATTAGGCATCTTCTTTTCCTCAGGCAAAATGGGCCAAAAAAAAGATTTAACTGACTCTGAAAAGTCAAAAAGAGTAAAAAGTATTTGAGAAGGACATAGCACTCTTCCAATTGCTAAGATATTGGGGCTTTATCACAGAACCATCAAACGTTTTGTTGCAAATAATCAACAGGGTCGCAAGAAACGTGTTGAGAAAAAAAAAAGACACAAATAAACTGCGAAAGATTTCTGTAGAATCAAACGTGAAGCTACCAGGAACCCATTATCCTCCAGTGCTGTCATATTTCAGAACTGCAACCTACCTGGATTGTCCAGAAGTACAAAGTGTTCAGTGCTAAGAGACATGGCCAAGGTAAGGAAGGCTGAAACTCGACCATCACTGAACAAGACACATAAGTTGAAACGTCAAGACTGGGCTAAGAAATATCTGAAGACAGATTTTAGGTTTTATGGACTGATGAGATGAGAGTGACTCTTGACGAACCAGATGGATGGGTCCGTGACTGGATCAGTAACGGGCACAGAGCTCAGACACCAGCAAGGTGAGGTGGGGTACTGGTATGGGCTGGTATTATTAAAGATGAGCCAGTTGAACCTTTTTGGGTTGAAGATGGACTCAAAATAAACTCCCAAACCTATTGCCAGTTTTTAAAAGATACTTTCTTCAAGCAGTGGTACAGGAAATAGTCTGCATCTTTCAAGAAGACCATGATATTTATGCAGGACAATGCTCCATCACATGCACCGAAGTACTCCACTGCGTGGCTACCCATAAAGGCATTAAAGATGAAAAAATAATGACATGGCCCCTTTCTTCACCTGACCTAAACCCTACTGAAAACTTGTGGACCCTTCTTAAACGTGAGATTTATGGTGAAGGAAAACAGTACAGCTTTCTGAACAGTGTCTGGGAGGCTGTGGTTGCTGCTACACAAAAAGTTGATGGTCAACAGATCAAGAAACTGACAGACTCCATGATTGGAAGCCTTATGTTATTGAAAAGAACGGCGGCTATACTGGTAGCTATTTTTTTTAAATGTTTATTTGTAAATTTTGAGGAGTCTATTAATGGCTTACCGTCCGCCCGCTCGCAATGCACTGTGGACGGGCAGCAGCTACAAGCAAAGTGATGTACGGGGGTGCGGTTTTGGAAACTTAAATGTGTTTTGGGGTATTATTCCACATATGGCCATGGCATACGCAAGCAATATATCATTTAAGTGACAACTTTGTGTAAAAAAAAAAAAAATTGTCATTTTCCAAAAATTTGTGGCAAAAAAATAAAATGTTCCAGGGACTCATCATGCCTCTCAGCAAATTCCTTGGGATGTCCATTTTCCAAAAAGGGGTCATTTGTGAGTTTTTTGTATTGCCCTGGCATTTTAGCACCTAAAGAAATGTGAAAGGCAGTCAGAAAGTAAAAGCTGCATAATTTCCAGTTAATATATCACAGTTTGTAGACTATAACTAGGCTATAACTTCCAAACAAACCAATTACTTTACATGTATTGGGATTTTATTTTTTTACCAAAGACGTAGCAGAATACATTTTGGCCTGAATGTAGGACGAACTTTGAGTTTATTGGATATTTTTTATAACTGAAAGTAAAAAATATTCTTTTGTGTTTTTATTTAATTTTCGGTATTTTATTGTTTATATCACAAAAGCCAATATTTTATTGCAGGGCTTGAAAAAGCCGCTCGTCAAATGCGAGGAGAAATTCTCTAGCGGCGAACACAGATAATGGGGCGACTGCGCTCCAAGCCTCATTGTGAAGCCAAGTTCTGGTTTCTGGCTTCTTCGGCACTGCCGCTGAGGGGACAGGTGCAAGAGAGGTCCGCTCTCCTCCGCTGAGAGGAGACTCAAGGAGTAAGTACTGTATACACGTCATATCACTATAATGGAGTACAGGGGAGCTGGGATATACATTACTGTATACATGTCATATCACTATAATGGAGTACAGGGGAGCTGGGATATACATACTGTATACATGTCATATTACTGAGTAATGTATATCCCAGCTCCCCTGTACTCCATTATAGTGATATGACATGTATACAGTACTTACCCCTTGAGTCTCCTCAATAATGGAGTACAGGGGAGCTGGGATATGCATTACTGAGTAATGTATATCCCAGCTCCCCTGTACTCCATTATAGTGATATGACATGTATACAGTAATGTATATCCCAGCTTCCCTGTACTCCATTATATTTATATGACATGTATACAGTAATGTATATCCCCCTCCCCTGTACTCCATTATAGTGATATGACATGTATACAGTAATGTATATCCCAGCTTCCCTGTACTCCATTATATTTATATGACATGTATACAGTAATGTATATCCCAGCTCCCCTGTACTCCATTATATTTATATGACATGTATACAGTAATGTATATCCCCCTCCCCTGTACTCCATTATAGTGATATGACATGTATACAGTAATGTATATCCCAGCTTCCCTGTACTCCATTATATTTATATGACATGTATACAGTAATGTATATCCCAGCTTCCCTGTACTCCATTATATTTATATGACATGTATACAGTAATGTATATCCCCCTCCCCTGTACTCCATTATAGTGATATGACATGTATACAGTAATGTATATCCCAGTTCCCCTGTACTCCATTATAGTGATATGACATGTATACAGTAATGATTACTGTATACATGTCATCATGGAGAACAGGGGAGCTGGGATATACATTACTGTGTACAGTTTTATAGTTTGGACTCTTTATTCTAAGGAAAATTGTAATTTCATAAGCTTTAAGGGGGCTGGAGGCGGACCTGGGCAAGGTTGGGTGGGGCAACTGGTGAAGAATAAGGCTTGTGCCTGGCTAGTAGGTCTAGACTCGAAATTTTAAGCCCTGCTTTATTGTACATTGTTTTTGCATGGTACAAAAATGTTGACTCGCCTGTTGTGAACTACTGTTCTCTGCTTCTTTTTCCTACAGAAGTGGAAGATCTGCTGTGTTCATTGAAAGAGATCCAGCACACTTTGGTAGATTCACAGAGCCAGGAAGATTTATATCTACTTCTACAACTAGTGCAAAATAAAGACTTTCAGAATGCATTTAGGATTCACAATGCTGTTGCTGTCCACATGAACAAAGCTAGTCCCCCATATCCACTTATTCCAAATGCCCAGGAGTTAACACAAGAGGTAAGTCTCACTACTCACTTATTTTAATGTGCAAACAGAAAAAAGCGTTAAAGGGCAACGCCCATATAACCCTGTCCTAACTATCATGTGTGAGGGTTTTTTTTGGTGTATTAGAAGGTTTGATGCCTACTCTACCGCTCTACAGAAAAAGAATTAGTTCACCTTTGGAATATGTTACACGTTCCATCCATGTTTAGGGGGAAACATGTAACATGTTCCAGCTCCTACCTTCTCTCCACCCAATTCCTCCTCCCCTTCCCTGTGACAGCAGGTGGGGGATTTCCTTCCACTGTCAGATTTTAAAAACAGCATAGCTGTGCGCGGGGCTCAGCCCGATACTTGAAGTACAGGTATCATCAGCTGCCACTGACTGCTTGTAGTTCTCGGTGAACTGCGAGGGTGATGGTAAGAGCTCTCGTAGCTCATTGATTCTTCCTGCAATTCAGTAACTCTCTGCTTGTACGTCTTCTGGTCACGGGTGCAAAGCCTTACAGGCTGCACAGTAAAAAAAAAAAAAGCATTTTTTTTTTAAATCTGCAAAAATGATGTGCATTTATTCTTTTATAAAAGGTGAACTTAGCCTTTAACTATGTTGTTGCTAGATTTATTTTTTCCTTTAATCAAGGTACTTGGTTAACCGCAGATATTTTATCTTCAGGGACTTCAGTCGAAACTCCAGAATGCCGTTTGAGGTAGTCTCTGCACAGCAGCAGATTTCTCCCACAAACCCGTGGATAGTAGTAAAGTCCTGACGGGGTTCTAACTCTTCTCCACTGTATCCAAAACTATGAAAAAAAAAGATTTGGCTTGGCTTACATTGAGTAAATGCTAGATTTCAGTTATGTTATTGTTACTGTATACTATACAAATAGTTGTTTCTCTTATGTTCATTGACGGACACATCTCTTCTAAATCTTGACCATAGGGTTATATTGCCACCTACAGGAGTAGGACTCTAGGCAGAAAAAGAACTTGGCACCGCCTATGGTCAGACCCTTCTGGCATAAAACCCCTTCTCTTCTATAGGTAATACAGTTTTTTCTGCCTAGTGTTCCGAATTAGAGACCTGGTTCCCTGCTGGGAACTGCAGTTCCGTAGCTTTTTTCTTTTTTGTCTTTTTTTTTCCTGCTGAGATTTACTATCAACAGCCAGGCTGGGCGATGGGCTGGATAATCTAGATCCAGTGGTCACCCCAGCCTGGCCAGCAAGTGCATGCAGATCTTTAGCTAAGTGCTGGGTTGGCTGCGACATGCCTCATCCTGGACCGGGACAGCCGGTGAGTTAAACGTCTCGCTGGGACACATATGACTGGGTGCCTATAGTCCGTGTCAATGTTAGGCCGAAAGCCCCCCACTTCGCTGGAGAGGAGGTTCTGTCTTGGGAGTGCTACTCGCATGCTCCATCTGGATCGGTAAGTAGATTCACCCCTCCTTCCCTGGATGCAGTGTGGGATGTGCGGGTACTCCCTGGGGTAGTCCCCACACGGTTCTCCTTCCCCCTGTAGGCTTGTTCTCCTGTTCTCCCTCTCCTTCCCCTAGATCATTTGAGGGGTATTGGTGTGGAATGGGGAGGGGTATAGCCGAGGGAAACTGGGCTGTGTGGACTGGTGTGCTACACTGACACTCAGATTCATGTAAGAAATGCTGCATCCCCATGGCCTGGGTAGCTGCGGGCACGCTTCACAGGTGGCCACCTCTTTTATGGCCTCAGCCAATGGCCATCTCTTTGGGGTCCATGTTGGTAGCCATCTTCTTGGGGCCTCCGGTGGCAGCCCCGCCTTGCGGGCCTCTGGCGGCGGCCCCCCTTTGCGGGCCTCAGCCGGCGGCCTTTTTTTGCAGGGCCTTAGCCGGCAGCCTCCCTTGCGGGGCTTCAGTTAGCAGCCTCCTTTGCATGCCAGCCTCCTCTGGTCGGCTTGCCTGGCAGCCACGTTGGGTGGGTTTCCCTCCACACCCGTGGCCATGCTTTGGTATGTAGTTTGCCCCCCCCCACCTTGGTTTTCCAGGTGGCATGTCACCATTGTTGGTTCGTGGGTCCTAGGATTCCGCATTATGGGGCCACATACTGAGTCTTTCAGGCCACATAATGGTAGTTTCTAACTTTCCTCCAGTCCAGTTCCAGCTCTGCAAGGCCCCCGGATGTGGGCAAGTGCTCCTCTACCTACGATCCCACTATATTAGTGGATAAGTCCTACTCGGCATGTAGGCTTGATCCAACCTTCAGGGTATGGGGTCGTCCTTGCTGGATTTGGACCATGGACCTCCTCTGTTCCCACCACGTAGGTCTGAATACAGCTTGTGTCTGACTGTGAAATGGCATTTCCTTCTTATCTGCTTGGGCAATCCCCCCCCCCCCCCAATTTCCATTTTCTGCTATTGCGCTTTGCGCAGGATCTGCTGCACTAGGGGGTGTTTGCCCTTGTGCCCAATTTGGCATGGTTTCAAAGGTTTCCTTCAATTTGTTCATGGTCCTAACACAAGTACCAGAGGCCAGGTTCATGGGTCAGGCTGGAATCCATCCATTCAGTGGCCTCTCCTTTCAAAGGTTTTTTTTTTCCCCCTTCAGGCGGCTTCGTCTCACCCACTGGGTGTTCTCCAAGGTTCTGGCTCTAGTTCTGTTGTTGCTGAGACAACAGAGGATTGCTGTGACTGGTTACTTGGGCAACCTGCTTTTGCAGGCGGACTACAAGGCCGTGGTGACAGACACCATGGGGAGCTAGAGGCACTCCCTGCAGGGCTTCAGATGGTTCCACAACCTCCAGAGGTCTGCCCTGACCAGGACTTTGGAGTCTCTGGGCCTGATTCTCGACTCGAGCATGCTAGCATGTTTCTCCGGGTGGAATAGCCTTCGACTGTGATCCAACTAAAATTTTTGTCTTGCGAGCAGCCCTCCTGGCTGTAATGCATGTGGACTGTGGACCTATGGTATCCACCTTTCTAGTTGGTCTCGTGTGCGCAGTTCCATACGAGAATTCTGTGAAGGAAAATTTGGTCCCAAGCAATGTGAGCTACTGACAGACAGATGGCTGTATAATTCTAATTAAGAAATTCAAATTTTTGACACATTGGTTCACCTTACTGGGTCACCCCTCTGCCTACAGCCTTCTAATTAAACAGTGAAACAGCCTAATCGACTCTGTCCAATGACTATGAACTTACCTAGGAAGCAGTAATGCTAATCCAGTAGATAGCAGAGTTGAACAAAAGTTCAAATGCTTTGGCAGGTAAAACTGTAAACAGGTGTGTATTTAGCATTTTTCTAACTTTAACTAGTGATCACAACCGAAAGCAATTGAATTGAAATAAGAAAAATGGTACCTCTGGAAAAATACAAGTATTGAACAGATGCTGTAAAAGTTATTGTTTCAAGTGTTTTCAGACCTAAGTAATAGAAAGTGTGCAGTGCAAAAAAAATTTTAATTTGTTTTTTTGTTTTGTTTTTTCTTTTTGTTTTGTTTTTTCTTTTTAACTAGGTACAGCATGTTCTCAAGACAAGCCATCAGAAAGAATGTCAAGAACTTAATGATTTACTAAGCACACCACACATTCAGGTAAGGCAGCTGCTGAAAAATGAGGCAGCTCCTCATGTATCACACTTTTAACTAACATATTTTGTTCCCTTATCTAGCTTACCAAAGGCAATAAAATCCAGTTCACATCTTGAACATAGGGTTTTTTACTGTCATTTGTTTTGGAAACAAAATTTGGTTTTGTATAGTTCAGCCCATTCATGACCAGATCATTGATTCCTAGATGCGCATGTCAAATGTAGCAGCATCAGCTCACTTGACTATAAATGACTGTTCTTCATGCCTTAATATTTTATGGGCAAATCTCCTTAATGTGGCTACATCAAGAAATAGAGCTGGTGGGAATTTTACTTCCCCAAAGTAAAAAAATATATATATTTATATTGGCATAACGTTTTCATGAAAGGTACATTTTAACAATGAGTTTTGGATTCTAAAAGTATTTCTTCATTATCTTTATTATTCATCATTATCCCTATGCAAAGTGCTGCTTTTTATTATGGAGGTTATAGTATTCTGTTAAGCTTCATGAGAATCTTCACAGATTGCAGCTTCTTCTTGTCCTGCTTCAGCAGTGTCAAGGACTGTTGCATTGTTAGCAATGAACTGCATGTGGATGTGAGGCGTAAGGATTACAGTATAAATGTATTGCAGCATAAAACAAACAATTTCTCTGTTGAGCCTTGACCCCCCCCACCCCCTCCCCCCCCCCCCCCCCCCCCCCCCCCCCCCCCGATCCCCACCGTGACAGCTAGCGTGGGATCTTATCCTCCTTGCAAGTTGTCACAATTTTAAAAAACTTGGCCATGCGGGGCTCCACCCGCCCGGCCACATCACTCATTCACAGTATTCTGTGAATGAGGAAACTACAAGTCCCAGCGGCTGTCGACTTTTAGTTTTCAATAAACCACCATGGCGTTGTGGTAGTTCATTGAGTCTTCCTGTCAGTAAGTATCTGCTTGCCCGTACGGGATGTACAAGAGAGCAGGTGCAGTGACAGGTCAAAGGGAGACCTGTATGCTTTAGAGCAGGGGTATCAAACTGGTGCCCTCCAGCTGTTGCGGAACTACAAGTCCCATCATGTCTCTGCCTTTGGGAGTCATGCTTATAACTGTCAATCTTGCAGTGCCTCATGGTACTTGTAGTTTGGCAACAGCTGGAGGGCCGCCTGTTTGACACCTGTGCTTTAGAGGCTTCAGAAACAATGCAAAGATGCACATTTTTTCACCTGCAAAAAAAATGTGCATTTAACATTTTTTTTAAAAGTTTAATTTATCCTTTTAAATAAAACAGGAGTTCCCTTGGCAGAAAAAAAAACGCTGATACAGAGCACTTTTGTACACCTATTAGGTGAGTTTAGGTAAGTTTACTGTTTTTTCTGCCAGAAAGTTCAAATCAAAAACTTAATACAGAATAGTTTTTTTTTTTTCTGCCTCTAAACACTGAGTTTAAAATATGCCTCTAATTGTCCTAATGTGGATGGACACATAGGATGACACTGAGCTGCTTATACAGGTAAAACATGAAACTCCTGTAGAAGCAGCAATTTCTAAGCCAGTGTGCATGGAGCCTAACATTTCCCTGTTGTTCATTGAAGGACACAGCAGAGATCTTGATCACTGAGTTGTAATGCATAGGACACAAGTAACAACAACAAAAGCACAGCCTAAGGGCGTCCCATGAAGCTGGTCAAACCCCCATGTCCAAGTGGCAGCTCAGTTTTTCCTTATGCAGGCCATAGATTTGGAAAACATCTCTCGATTTTTCTTCCGATAAACGAAAAATCGGTTGGTTGTAAAGCTAATTAGACCACCAATTAGAACGAAAATCGGCGGATAAATTCTTTGTAATTGTCACCTCTACTGGAAATGATGTCGTTTTTTGGGCAGAAATGCTGTCGTGTTTTGGGTGGAAATGCTGTCGTTTTGTCGTCGGAAATGATGTTGTTTGGTGACCTTTTTGTCCCTCCCTCTTTTCGTAATCTGCCGGCAAGACAACAGCAACGTTTCATTCCTACGAATTTTATTGTAGTAAAATGCCCAAATTAAACCGCAAAAATAAAATACATAAAGTGTTATAAGTGTTAATTGTGCAATACATAATATTAATTATGGGGTATTTAAGCACTACACAATAAGCATAGTGGATGCATGTTATTCTGTACATCAAACACAAAGATTACTGCACAGAAATACATGATATGGCATGACATACTGTTCTGTTTACACACTAAAATTATTGACCTTTCTCCTGGATAAGAAAATTTGTTCCTTAAGAAACTTCCAGGTCATCGCACATGCACATTAATTTATCGTTTAGAAAATCGGGAGATATTGCCATTAATGGGAAGAAATTTGGTCGTTTTCTAAAAATTTTCCAGCTACAACGATATTCAAAAAGACAAAAAAATACAAAAATCTGCAGACAAAATTGCCCATACACGACTACATTATCGGCGTGGTTTAAAGTCGTCCAAAAAATCACAGGATTTTTCGCAAATCTATGGCCGCCTTCAGTGTTAAGGATTTAGGACCTAAGCCTCCCTACAGGGAGTCTTGGTGGCTGAGGGGTAGTGGGAAATGGCTTAATGAGTGTGTGATGGTATCCATTCTATGAATGGGCACAGCAATGTCTTCACAGGGCCAGTGACGACTTTTAACCTTGAATGGTCCATCTTGACTACTTTTGTTGCAGTTTGCTCCACTTTTATAGACTTGTAGCAGCTTCCAGTGCTGTTCCCACACTAGTCTTATCTAGGAAAGGGAGGTGTGCCACTATTTCATCTTTTATAGCTGTTTATTAGGTTTTGGCCAGCATCTTAGTTGTTTTGGTGTAAGCAGTGGTTTCTAGGATCTAAGGGCTGGTGTACTGCTCAATGCTAATTCCTCGGTGCATGCCTTGAGTCCCTCTTCTGTCTCCACACTGATAGCAGACCTCCACACTGCTTGTGCTGACCTTCTGGAGCCAGGGGTTGTGGCCCAGTTTGTTGGTGGAATGTTTCTTGGAGTTTTCCTAACCAGTTCATAGTTGTCAAACCAAAAGGGGGACATTTGTCCTGTGTCGGACCTCAGGATTTAAAGATTTTCTTTCAAGCCCCGAGTGTCTTAGCCTTTCTCAATCTAGAACACTTTATGGTGTCCATGAACATCAAGGAGGCTTATTCACATTTTTTCCAGAGCATCAGTGATACCTGTGCTTTCTTGTGGGTTGTCCCAACACTATGGATGGTGGCTCTGCCATTCCTCCTGACCTCCTTCCCCAAGTTGCTCACTTCTGTACTACTACACTTTATGGGTACCCCTGTTGTTGGTTGTCTAGCTGACTGTTGAAGGGAACTGACACAGAGTTTGCCAGGGTTTGGCCAGGTCTTGGACCTTCAGAGTTCAGTATTCATTTGGAATATGTGGATCTCACCGATTTTTTTTCTTTTTCTTTTTTTTGTAATTGCAAGTTCTACCCTACCTATCTTAGACTCTTCAGTCTACAGTCTGGTGGTTCACCAACTCTGTTCTTCTGCATAGCAGTTTTGGGGCTGATGGTCTCCTGTGTGGTTGTTCCATGTGCCCAGTTCCTCTCTAGGTCTCTACATGTCACCATCAATTGCCTTGGTTATGTTAGTCCAGACTGTGGACAGTCTGATTAATCTGACACCAAGGACAGGCTGGCCTGTTGACTCAGGAATCCTACTAGAGGGTTTGGAAAGTGTGGGTTTTTTTCAGTCTCATAGAAGATTCATGCAGGATTGTCAGGCTGGGAAGGGGTCCTAGACATTTTGCAGTGCCTTTGATTGGTTTGTGTCTTTGTTGTCCAGAGTGCTAGACTGGTCTCAGCTACCTGTTCAGGCCATGGGCTTCATAGAAAATGATCCCCTCTATCTTCTGTTTTGTGCTCTGATCCTTTATGTGGACTCTCCAAGGGCGTTGGCTAAAGTGAGCTGTAAGAATACTTCCTCTTGGCAAAAGGGGGCGGGGGGGTTGGCCTAGGATATCAGAAACACTCATCATCATGTTCATCTTCACCATTTCTAGTTCATGCTCTGCGACTTCAGGTACGGAATCCTCTTTGTACAGATATATGTAAGTGCTTGGGGTCAAGGTTTCATTATTCAAAGCTGTTTCATTTGCTCAATTCACAGCGGGACCTTACACAGGGACATACTGTCCATGTGGGACAGGTATCTTCTCTCCTTGGGCAGAGAGATTCATCTATTGCTGCAGGCCAGTGTTTCTTTGATCACTAGTAAAGTCTCAGGGCAGATCTCTTCTGCACCTCAACTGGATGGCCTCTTGTTCTCTAGTTTACACTTTTATTCAGAGTGTGGCTCATATTGCTCCTTCTATTAAGAACACCATATTCAATGGGTTCTTAACTTGGTGTTTTTAAAGGTCTTCCTTTAATCCACTGCAAGAGATCCCTCCCTTTTCTCTAACTCCGAAAGTGGCATTCCCTAAAGCTATTGCTTTGGTTAGTAGGGTCTCTGAGTTGGCAGCCTTGTTTTGCAAGATGCCCTTACTAATCCTTCATAAAGATAAGGATGTTGGAATCCTCAGCTTTTCTTTTTTTTTCTTCGTGTGTCGCCCCTTTTCTTGTCTGTGAGGACATAATGCTTCCAACCTTTTGTCTGTCCTCTTGTCATGTGAAGAAGACTGCACACACTAGATGTGCAGTGAGCTGTCAGAAGGTATCTGACAGCTGCAACTTCCCTCTGAAAGACATACCATTTGTCATCCGTGATTGTCCTCCTAAGGAGTCCCTGACATCTCCAGATAGATTAGCTGGGTCATTTTTCAGGCTTGTTTCATGAAGGGATAGGATCCACTGTTCTTGTCACCACTCATTTTACTAGGGTGCCTTCTAAGCTTTTTACATCAGCCAAGTTGCTTTGTGGGCCTCTGTCCACGTTTTTACTAAGTTTTATCATGTGAACATGGTGGCATTGAAGGATGCTGGCTTTGGACATAAGATCCTTCTAGCAGCAGTGTAAATTCCTGTCCTGTGTCTTGGTGAATGCTGTGGGAAAACATGATTTTTGTGGCCATCCCTGTAAAATCTAAATTAATTTTGGGAATAGCCCCGGTCTCTTATGGGGTTATCTTTTTATGTTGTTGGCTTGTTATCACAGTTGAGTTTTGACCTGGAGGATTACCTTCCATTTCCATGACTTTCTCACTGTTTGCTACTCATGATCTTATGGTTCACATACAGAGCTATAGTCCCTGAAAGGTGATGTACCTTTTCTGCTTTGCAGAGTGTAATTCCTAGAGTCATCATCTCTACCTACAGTATATGTAGTAGAGTCCTGTCTCCCCCAATAAACTATTAGAGCAAAGGACCTAATGGGTAGTACACCCATACACGTTATGGTGACTTGCGCTAAAAGGATCCAAACAGCCTCTTACCTAATTAGTACAAAGTACAGTAGAGCCTCCTTGTAACAAAAGACTTTAAACATAAGGATTATTCCAAACTTCATACTGTGTTGATGACAACCAACTAGCCTGAAACCACTGTATGCAGTTTTAATATACTGGATTTACTTAAATATATTTCGTTTTTTGTCATCTCTAAGTTTTGAAAGACATTTGAGCTTTGAAAAATGTTCTGTTAAATATGATATACTTTAATTCCTGTTCTGTAAATTTTTCCCCTTCAATTTAGGCTCTCCTTTTGGCGCATGACAAAGTGGCAGAGCAGGAAATGATGCCAGAGTCTATTTCGGAAGATAAGTTTTATGAAAACATTGGGCAATATGGAGATGAAATGGTTAAAATTGTAAGAATAGAGAAGGCAAAAGATATACCACTGGTAAGAAAATGGTCAAATTAGGTTTTGAATCATATATGCAGTATAATAGTTGTGTTGCATTCTATGTACAGTATATACATTTATCTCCATTTTATACATGCATATATACCATATAAATACCATAATAAGTATTTTAAAAAGCTGTTTAAAATGCAGCTGAAATCGAAATGTGCACAGCAGACCCAGACTAAGTACCCAGATTTACTAAATTTTGTTAGGGTGTTTGCCCAGAGCTCCTGGCCAATCTGCTGCAGAAAAGACCCCGTTTCTGTTTTTCTGGTGCCCTTAGAATCCCATGTTTTTCCTTGTCTGAATTATCTTCAGTGTTTATTCCCAAGGAAATTTGTTTTCAAAATTGGCAAATCATGAATAGAGATTTATATTCTCTTGAATACATGCATGTGTATTTGCTTAGCCTGACAAGAATTATATTATTCATGAATCACAATAGATTTCTGAATGGCATGATTCTCCTCAAATATAGCCATTGAGAAAATATTCAGGTAAATAAAAAATTGTGCTTTATCACATAGCCTGGTTCAGGGATTTATTTTTCTGATTTCCCAAGTCATCTTCCAGGACAGCTTACAAGAGAAGCTCCTACCTAGCACAGGAAACGCATGATCCACATTATAAAAAGCAAACACAGAGACCCAAACATCAGTCCATGTCTTTCCTACGGTCAGAACAGGTCACAGACTTGTCTATCTTATTTTTGCTGTGTGGCCTTTGTGCTAGGTGGCAGGGGCCTCCTTGGTTTTGGCTTTCCGTTAACAGGCAGTGAATCTGGGGAATGCTGACAGCTCAGGGTCTCTCTCAAGGCAGTTAATCAACACGGGACCCCCTCCCCAATACAGGAGCATTTCCACAAGGCATCTATTATGGGACATAGGTGGCGTTGGCAGTGGGGATTTGGACTTAGGTTAGTCTTCCTGGGGGAGGCAGTGCAGCTCTGGCGGGGTTGTGCGGTGATGGAAAGGCCGACATCTCCTTTTCTCAGTCTGGGCCTGTGTCGGTGTTCCGGAGACTGGGAGCGTCGCATATGACATCACTTCCAGTACAGAGGAAATTACGTCAAACAGGAAGTCACACATAGGCCATGTTTAGTGTGGGAATCTCAGGCCTGGAAAACTGCGGGTGCCATTTTCGCCTAATCCCTGGCTGGCTTGGTCATCATGGAGGCAGCAGATGCAAATCTGCAGACGCCACAGGACTCTGACCCTAGGGTAAGACTAAAGTTGGGGACTTCTCATCTCTTGCCTGATGGAGGGGGCACCAGGGTTTTATTCCCTTTGTTTGGCCTCTGGGAGCAGGAAGGGAACAGGAAAGTCACTGATTTCTTGCAGGTTTCTGTGTATGGCTGTGGCACCTTTTGCATCCTCATGCAAATTCAGAGGGCCCTAACCTTTTGGAACATTTCATATTCCTGATGTGTGCCTGCTATACCATGTACTTGTTCTCATTGTATTGCTTCCTTTGTGTGAAATCCCTGGTGTTCTTGCCTCTGCTTTCCTAATAAAAAATGACCACACCAAGCAAGAGAATACACCATGGTAAGTTCTGTTGCTCTGCTGGGAGCACAGCCTGCTCTCCTCCAACGATCAGACTTGTGCTGACATGCCCCCCTGCACAGCCATTCACTAGGAAGATCAGTGTGCTGCTGCCCAGTGGCGATTAAATTCCACCAAAAGAAAGCTCTATTTGTGTGAAAAAAATGATTAAAACTTCATATGGGTACATTGTTGCATGACTACGGATTTGTCATTCAAAGTGCAACAGCACTTAAGTCTGAAAATTGGCCTGGGTAGGAAGAGGGTAAACGTGTGCCCGGTAGGCAAGTGGTTAAGTCCTATGTACACGAGGTCTTGTGTAGTAAACATATAAACTCCATGTTTACCATATATACACCTGAGGAGAACAGCTTAAAAAAAAAAACTCATTCCCTGGCTTCTGCATGCGATGCCTTAGGAGAGGATTAAATCTCTGTCCTAGGAATGCTGAGAATCCAAAGATCTGAGGATTTAGGTATCTTGTTGAGCTTCTCTGTCATGCAAATTGCACCTTAAAGCAGAGCTCTATCTAAAAGGGGAAGTTCTGCTTTAGGGCTTCGTGCCCCTTTAAGGATTAGCACCTTTTGGGGAGTGGGAGCGAATACCCGACTTTGACAGGTTCAGCTGCGATCAGAAGCGGAAGTTGTCAAACCCCCCCTCCCTACCTGTAGTCCTCTGAAACACGTGACAGATACCAGAAGACTATGGGACCATCCACAAGGTGCAGCGCTACTCATGCTTGCGAAGTAGGCACCCAAATTTGAAGCCGCTGGGTGCCCACACTTAAGATGCTGGCGCTAGAGAAAGAGAACGGCCACTAAAACCTTCTATGGTGAGGACACCGCTGTATCGAGGGACAGGTGCAGCGTCTGTTTTTTTAAGTTAGCAGCTACAGTTTTTGTAGCTGCTGAATTTTAGTTGTTTTACATTTTGACTAGAGCTCTGCTTTGAGCTGGAAACATCAAGTACCGGGATGGCCCTCCCCATACAACTCAGTATAAAGTTCAAGAATGCAGCTCGTTGTAGTGGTGGATCAATAGTGAAATGTAAGAGCAGACAGGCCAGCTCTTGAAAAGAGCACCAGATGCGTATGCATTCATCTGGTGGCGTGCATTTTCCTTGCGTCCTTTTTAAACTGTTTTCACAGACAACAGGTTTACATTACCTATTGCATGCAGCATGTTGACTGTAATACATTTTCATTCTGAAGCTAGTTTACTTGTTGCAGGGTGCCACAGTACGGAATGAGCTGGACTCTGTCATTATCAGCCGCATAGTGAAAGGAGGTGCAGCTGAAAAGAGTGGACTTCTGCATGAAGGAGATGAAATTTTAGAAATAAATGGTATTGAAATTCGAGGAAAAGACGTCAATGATGTTTTTGAACTACTGGTAAGTTTGAAATGGATCTCAATTAATGAAATTAAAAGATTAAAGTTTTTTTTTTTTTTGTTGTTGTTTTGTTTTTTTTTCTTTGTGAAGAGGGTGGAGAAATGTAAAACCAATGTCCAGTTTTTCATATTATGCCCTCTCTGGGGAGGTTCGTTTTCCCCCTGGTGACCACTATTCTGTAGTTCACAGGGCAATGGAAAATTCAAAATTTTACATTTGTCAACAGAACAGAGGGAACGTCTTCCAACGTGAGTGAACGGTTTCAATAGCAACGGAAAGGGCATTTCCACTTATTTCCTGTTGACTGGTTGAAGTGAAGACAGATCTCCTCAGTAGACTGCAGACCAAAATGCGCAGAAAAACATGTCTTCTGTATTTTTTTTTTTATCCTGCCCACCACAACGCACATTAGTGCATTACCATGTTTCGCAGTACGCTGCTGCGCAGTTGCAAGTAAAGGTGTGTGTGTGAAAGGCTGTTTAGAACGATGCAGTGCATTGGTTTGAATGGGCCCTTTACCAGTCTCTACTCTGTCCACTACCTTTAAACTGAACCCTTCCTGGCCTACAGTTCCTAAAGAACAATTTTAAGCAAAATTGGGTCCAATTTTTAAAGTACAGCTTTAAGCAAAATTAATTTCCTCCATCATTTTTTTGAGGATGCAGGACCTGTTCAATGTGCAGATTTACTGTCGGCCTCTAGGAGGTTTGGAAATTGTGTGAATCAGGAGGCACAATATGTACTTCTCCACTTGAAATACAACCTCTGTTTAGCTTGGTGTCCTGAGGAGTTAATGCATCTCTCTCCAACTCTCCTGGATCTTGGCTTGGTTGCTGATTTTACTAAGAAGCAGCTGATGAACTTGTCATACCAGTCCTCCTAATTGCTGGATATTCATTCTAGCAGCCATTGGTTTGCAGGTCTTACCAGATAGCTGTTTCAGATGTTGTGACTGTGGTGGTGCTTGGGAATGACCCCATCGTTGTACAGTGCCTTGAAAAAGTATTCATACCCCTTGAAATTTTCCACATTTTGTCATGGTACAACCAAAAATGTAAATGTATTTTATTGGATTTTATGTGACAGACTAACCAATGTTGGTTAAAAACATTTTTATTGAAAATTGATAATGTGACTAGTGAAACCGGTAGTGCCTCCACCCCTTTAGACCTAATGTAAGCAATAAAAAAAGCTGTTCATAGTGGCCCACAACAATGCAGCACCTACTGCCGTACACTGTATGGCTGCACGCAACATATGAGAATGTTTTCTCTGTGGATGCGATATACAGTGGTGGCAAAAATTGTAAACCGTTTAGGAAATTTTAATGTTTAGCAACTTTGCAGGCTTATCGGAAATGTTATTTTGCACTAAATGCAAATGTTTATATGCAAGACAATTTGATGTGGAATTCAATAAAAAAAAAAAAAAAAAAAAAGAATTCATATATATGCAGTACAAAAAAATGTGCTTACTTTAGTCTAAAAAAGAAACTGGGCCTTTTCTGACATTTTTGTTTACGTATAAAAGTCTGCTTTTTTTTGCTAGAAAATTATTTAGAACCCCCAAACATTTATATACAATTTTTGGAAAAAGTACACTTTAATTTTAATGCACACAATATAATACCCATTTTTTTAGGTAAAATATAAAAGATGGTGTTATGCCAAGTAAATAGTTACCTAACAAAATATAACATCCAGTGGGACTGTGATCCCATAGAGGCACCCGGGGGTGTCCTGCCTCTCTGGGATTTCCATTCCACCAGATGTTATGTTAGGTATCTGTTTACTCTGCGTAACACCATATTTTATATTTTACCAAACAAATTGGGTATTATATTGTTTGTGTGCATTAAAATAAAGTGTATTTTTACAAAAACGTTGCATTCAAAAATCTGGTCAAATATTGGGTGACATAAAAAATTGCAAAACCCACCATTTAATTCTCTAGGGCTTCTGCTAAATAAAAAATGTATCCACAATTATTGCCACAATCATTGCCACACCACAACATGTTACAGATGCATTGTTGGTCGTTTTCCTTTAAATATTTTTATCCCTTCCTTCCTCCACAGCTGGTATGTTCTTTATAGCTAGTCCCACCCTCTTTTCAGTGTGTCTTTAGTTTTTGTTCTTAACACACACAATTGCTGTAGCTAGACATTCTGTGATTTCTTTATCATACATAATGGGACACAGAGCAGGCTATAATAATGATTATGTGGGTTAGATGCCACCTACAGGTGACTGGACACTAGCAGATCAGTCAGACAGGAAGTCCTCCCCTATATAACCCCTCCTACACAGAAAGTACTTCCATATTTTTTGCCAGTATATATAAGGTGGATGATCACTAATGTGCTGTTGAAGCATACCTGGAGAACCTAAAACGGTTCTTCTATGAATCAAGGACTGGACTGGTTTCTATTTCGAAAGCTGTTATCTAAAATGGATGGTACCCGAGTCTCATTGCATAGGAGAGAAGAATCCTCGAGGCCCTACAGCACTGAACCCTAATGGAACTCTGTGCAGTGTTTGTTCTGACCAAGGTACTTTCCAGCAGGGTGCTATATGGGTTCCAGGAGGTGGACCCCAGATGTAAGGGGAACCGAGCCCACTTGACAGAGCCCACCATGATGGGTGAAGGTTGCACACCAGTTATGATTCAGAGTCCTGTGGTAGGAATGGTAAGTTTACATTTGCAGTGTCTCTTTGAAAATCTGACTGGCCGTTCTCCTGGTGGCCACTGGGGGCAGTGTGTGTTTGGTCTGGCCGGGCCATGCTCTGTGTGTCTGATAGAGTATTGGGCTGCAGTTTACTCCTCCAGCCACCACAGGTTGCAAGGTCGCTCTGTATAGCCTCCTCTTGTGTAGTGGAGGCAGGAAGCAGAGGGGTGGCCATTTTGGCTTATGGATGATCAGTGAGGCTCCTGAGAAATAGCAGGGGCATGGAGCAGTCTATGGCTGGATGATAATTTGTGAGTACAGCCTGTGGGGAGCTGCATGACAAGACAGGATGTGATTATACACTGCATTAGTCTGTCTAATCCTGGAGGGCTTGTACAGCTTGTTGTAATTCACCCCTGCACAGGTATCAGTGAAATTAATAGGAGTTTTTTGCTCCAGAATAACTTGCATTTGATCTGCAGGAGCTTACATTTAGACTGTACTGACGCAGCAGAGATGCTGCATTTGATGCATATGTGCTTGGCTAGCCCTGCAAAACTAGTATTAAACCAAGTGCCATTGTACTTGCATAAACTGCTTACTTACATGCATACTTAAATACGTACTTGCATAACCTGTATATGTACATGCATATTTAAATGTATGCTTGCATAAACCGCATATTTGCATACTTGTGAACTACTTACTTGCATACTTGTGTGAACTGTGTACTTGTATAATCTGCATACTTGCATAACTGAGTACCTGTATACTTTCAAAAACTGCATAAATGCATACTTGTAAACCTGCATAATTGCATACCTCCTGTGTACCTGCATGCCCGCAGACCAACATGGCTATGGACATGCATCTCTATGGGACTGCATAGATAGGTGGCAATATAGTTTCTGCATTATTGACTTAACTGGTCGCAGAAGGGGGGAGGCAGCCGAGAAGCAGGTGCACCACCCTCATGTCCAGTGGAATTGGGGGGTGGGGTTATTGTAATCTGATGGTGTTCTCATTTCACGATAGACCAGTTTGCATCAGGTGTATCTGGGCTACTGCGTTTGTCTGGCATTGCAGATATTCCTCATGGCGGAGCTGCAATGGTCTGTGGCTGCATCACCCTGAATGCGCGTTTCATGATAGACCAGTAGCGTCAGGTGTATCTGGACAACTGTGTTTGTCTAGCATTGCAGCTATTCCCGGTGGTAGAGCTGTAATGGACTGTGGCACATCACCCTGAACATGCCTGTTCGTGTCTGAACTCGGAAGCTAAGCAGAGTCAGCCCTGGTTAGTGCTTGGATGGGAGACTGCCTGGGAGTACCTGGTGCTGTAAGCTTTTCCCCTCTAGAATCTGAGGCTGCTGTATTTTGAGAAGTATCTCGGGCAGCGGATGCTAGGGCAGTCTCTGAGGTTATTTGCTCCGTCTTTAGCAGCAGAAACCTAATCGGTTAAGTACGCCTCTTGTGACCTCCTGGGTTCGATGCAGAATTATCAGGCTTTTGCCTTGCATTTTTGCTTCGAGCAGAAGTTATGGGCTCATTATTGTAAGACGCTCGACAGGTTTGTGGGCCCAGAACCAAATTGGGACCAGATCAGTCCGATCATTGGTGACCTCTCTGCAAGAGAGATTTTGGGTGTCCATAGTCCTCAATGACCTATATCTTCACGTGGCATTTTTATTCAGGCTCATCAAGGGCTTCCAGTAAAGAATCACCATTTTTTGTTTTGGGGCACTGCCCTTTGGGCTGATGATAATAGTGGTAGCCCAGCCCAGGAAGGGCCTGGTACACCAGCATAGTGAATCTGGCAGTGGATGCTCCTTGGACACTTCCGATCAGCCCAGACCTATTGTCTTGGGTCCAATAATGTACCTTGCTTTACGATCAATAAGATTGAAGGCTTGGCTATTGAAGCCCAGGTCTGGAAGGATCATGGGTCCAGTTATCGCTGCACTCTTGAGCGGCAGAAATACGGCTTCAGAGAGCTTCCAGGGACCTGAAAATCTTATATGCATAGTGTGAAGCCAGAATGTTGTGCCTTTGGAGATGTGTGATTTGGGAGATTTTTCATTCTTTCTCCAATTGGGAGGGAAAATGAAATTGGCTCTAAGTACCATTAAGGATTAAATTTTGTCTCTAGCCTTTTTCTTTTCCCCAGAGACCGTTGTTTCTCACTCCTCGATTTGTACTTTGTTCAAGGTGTAACACGGACGTCTGTCAGGCCTCTCTTGTGTCCTTGGGACTTAAACATGGTCTTGGCTGTCCTTGCAGAAGCCACTTTGGCAAGATGAGTGTCAGCGCTCTTTCATGTAAGGAACCGTTC